AATCTTTAGCTGATACTAATAAAAAATAGGTTAACTGATAACTTATATTAATAAAATACAAATCAAAAAAACTGAAGTATTGCAAATTACTCATATAAACGTTTGCTGTGTCAAACTCGTAGGCTTTACAATAAATAAAAGTTTGTTATCCCAAAAGTTTAATAACTTTGAGGGGATTTTAACATAACTTTATGAATAACATTCGCTTTATAAGTTTCAGTTATTTTTAATTACATCACAGGAACTGTTACACTTTCTATTTACAAATGTTTTAACATTTTGCCCTTTTAAAAATGATCGGAATATTTAGGTAATTTGTGCAAGAGTCCTGATAGTGATTGATCTACTCTGAGTAACTTGACTGATCTATTATCAATCAATAATAATTAGTTTAGTGACTAATAATGTGGACATTATAGGAAATTGTCCAGCAGGAGAAGAACATTCTCGAGATGGAAGCTGCGTACCCTGTCCACGTGGATTTTTTAAGGAAATCAATGATGTGTTATGTCGTCCGTGTGATCCAGCGTTTATTACAGAATCCATTGGATCAACTAGCGAAAAATCATGCGTATTACGTTAGTCTCTTTTTATTGTTCATTCAATGCATTTATCTTTTCTATTAGTTTTAATTTTTTAAAATTTAAGGCTTCTAAATTCTGAAAACAATTTTTTCTAAAACTTTTTTACTATTTTCATTTGCTTTGGTCATTAAAAAGCTGAAAATTAGTTTTGCTGAAGCTAATTGGTAATTTAATTAAAAACAAAAATATAACAAAGTTAACTTTGTTTGCAAAAGACTTAAAATCTTAGTAAATATGATTAAACATTAACTTTTAAAATTCTGAAATGATAAATAAGTAATTTTTCAAATTAAATAAGTTTACAGATTATATTAGACAAAAAATTTGTAATTTAATATGAACACCATTCATGATTTAGTATTTTTTCGAATTTGTATTCAAAATAAATGCTTGCTTGCACAAAATTATAGGAAATTGTCCATTATTATTTTCAAAATTTTGGCTCTTTGCATTAATTTATTTATTTTGATCAACAATCTGATTATTTTAACTGTGAATTAATTATCATTACTCTTAAACTAATATATAGTTTGATTTTTAGCTAGTTGTGAGCAAGGACACTACTTAAATCCTTACATCAAGCAATGCGTGAACTGCAGTTATGGTTATTACCAGGACGAAATTGGTGCTAATTCTTGTAAGCCGTGTCCAGCTGGTACTACTACCAGAATTGCTGGTAAATACCAAACCAATTATAACGAATTAATTGATATTTTGAATTTTTAGAACTAAAAGCATATGCTATGAATGACACTTGAAATTATGATAAAAAATAAATATTTAATGGATAATAATTACATAGTAGCAACTTGTTCAATATTAAACTTCTGGTGCTTTTTTATCTTTATAGGTGCCACATCTATTGAAACTTGTGTTTCTACGAATCAATGTGCTAATGGTGAACACAAATGTCATTGGTTAGCAGCATGTATTGATCTCCCCGATCAAGAAAACAGTCCATCGTACAGTTGTCGGTGTCAACCGGGATTTGTTGGGAACGGATTTATTTGTACAGGTTGTTTTCTTTATAAAGTAAAGATAGATAAATCAGTCAATAATATATGTTTATTAATATGTTACAGCTACAAAGCTTTTTTTAATAATAAAAAACAAATGCGATTGAAAAAACGCTAATTAAATTATATTCGTACTTTAAATGTATTAATCAGCTTTTAAAAAGCTTACAGTATGAAAAAGAAATTAACTTATAAAAGATTGAAGAGTTAATATATTTGTATAACTTCGATTAGCATATATTAAAGTGTGCGTAAGAAATGTTCCGCGATAACATTGTTAATTATGACGTAACCTTTTGTTTTAAAAATCACGTGTAGATTTAAGAAAATAAACGATAGAAATAAAAAAGAAATTATTTTAGCAATTTTTAACTTGAGCTTTTTTGTATTGTACACGTTTAAAGAGATATTTTTGTTACTTATAAAGACAAAATTAAATGTCTAATTTGTGAAAATACAAAAACTTTCAAATAATTAACAGATTTTAACATAAAAAACCAAAGCTAAATTACATGATTCCTTTTGAAAAAATTAAAAAACATATATTTCAGTTAACTTATTTGCACAATTGTTTTGTTTAATATCTACAAGTCGGTTCGAAAATACGCAGCTCTGCAATAACCTTTAACCTTTAACATAAATTTTTATATTTGTAAAATTATATTTAATTCATTTTTTAAGAATAAATTATTGTTCATAGCAGTAAACGTTTCGAAAATAAATAAAATTTTTCATTTTCAGATATTTGCCTGAATTTATGCTACAATAATGCTAAATGTTTAAAAACCGCACGTGGAGAGCCACGTTGTATCTGTCAGCCAGGATATAGAGGATTACGATGCGAAATCAAAAAGTGATTACGATTAATATGATTACGATTAACTTTATATATATTTTAATAACATTTAGCAAATTTTAGTACTTATTCTATTCGTTTTATGCAAATTCGATAGCAGAAATTAATTCGAATACAAATTTTAAAAAAGTTTTGAATTTTTAATTCATCAAAAAGTGGGAAAAAGTGAATTCAAATTATAATTAAATTGATGTGTGACAAATAGGTAACGAAAGTTTTTATAATTTTTGTATTATATTTATTATATTGTTTACTTATTTACTTGTATTCAAAACCTTTCCATCACTTGTGTGATTTGTTTATTCCGTGCTTACATTATTCGTTCCGCTTGTAATTACAAGTTGTTCAGAAAATAATTAGTATCTTTAATTTGTAGAGCTTCTTAATTCTTTAATTATTGTTTTATTATCTCTTTTTGCTATAAAAATACCCAAAATAGACTAAAAACATGCATTATTATTCACTGTCAAGTATTCTCTTCTGAAGAAGTAAAGGTTAATGTAAAGAGAAAAACAATACAAAAATATTAAAAAATTGTTAAATCAGCTTCTAGCATAATTCAAACAAACTAAGGCGCAATTTTTAAATGTTGGATTAATTCTGCAAATAGAAAGTCTTTATTGTTGCTTGTAATGACGAAAATGTTAATCATATTATTTGTAAATAATATTTTTATTAAAATTAATGGACTTAAAATAAAGTGTCAAAGTGTTGTCGTTGTTGAAGAAAAATATAAGGTAAAGTTCAATTGGTAAAGAGAGGTTAAAGGTTGTACGGACTTTTATTAGTTTAAGTTTATCATTTTACAATGTTTTCAATGGTGTTCAAGCAAATATTTTAATTTGCCTGAACTTTGACTTCAATAAATATTTATTTTTAGTGATAATTAAACTTAATCG